TATGATCATACTTTGTAATAGAAAGGTTTATTATCAACGAATGGAATAAGAAAAATCAAAAAAAAAAAAGAGGGTAGGAGATGAGAATTACAAAATTTTTAAAAATTAATAGAATTATTTTAATGAGAAATATTTCGGTCTGTTAAGGCCGTATACATTTCTTACCATTAAATCGTATCACATCTGATCATAGCTTTTTGTACTCAGTTACCACTGTTTATTCTTACACTCATACGATTTTCCAGAAGGCGTATGAAATCCGTCGTTTTCATAAATTTTGAGGAGATGTGTTTCACTAAGTTATAGTAGGACTGATAATTCTAGCAGTTTGCGTTGAAGAGGAAGTTTGGGGATGCTTGTAGCTCCACGAGTACTTATTTTGTTGTGTATGTATAACTGTATTTCCCCTATAAATTTGTCTCCAGAAAAGGAAACGTACTTTATTACTATTCCGCTCCCCTCGCCAAATTTGGTAGCCCCTATGTTTAAATATGGTACAATGTGTAGTATTAATTCCCTCTTCTCACTGATCCTTAACACTTCGACCTATTTCGCTTCACTCACTGATTTGTAACAGTTCCACCAAATTCTAAATAATTCCATATTACCTACCTTCTCACTTACTAAATACCTTGCCCTCCTTTTCCCTGCGTAAACCTCTCCCGAAAACCCTGGCCCTTAGTATCGGAATCAACGCGCGTCGTTGGTCCTTCCATAAATAACGCTATTGACTGGCCGCCTTGACACGAATTAGCGTCCTCCTGCTGGATACCATGTGCAGCGCCCCCGCTCGTCGTTTTATTGAAGTGAAGCTTTTATTGGGAACAAAGTGCTGGCACTTTTCGGTGTCTTCCGCTGCTGCAGTCAAAGACTGCGTAAGAACCTAACAAAGCCGTTGCTTCAGGATCCATTTATTCAAGATTTAGCACTTCCGGTTTGGTTTTAATGTTCATTTCATTGATTTTTGCAGTTTTTTGTTAAAATTTTGTCCCTCATAATTATATTTTGTGCTTTGCGAAATGAATCTCATTTTCTTCGTCCTACGTGAGTGATTTTGAAATGGCATTAAGTTGGATTCAGGAAAGTCTGTCATCTCTCGCATAGTGAGTTAAAGGTACGTTTTAGTAAAATTCA